TCTCTCTCTCTCTCTCTCCTCCCTCCTCTCCTCCTCTCTCTCTCTCTCTCTCTTCCCCAAGAATTAATTCACGGAGGCATTTGATCGATAAAATCAGTAGATAAAAATTATAATTCTTCCTATATTTATCCTATTTATATATTTTTCTACGTTCCTATAATATTATATAATCTAAAATTACATATGAATCAACGTGTTTCTAACGTATAAATTAATCGATAAAATACTTGAGGAAGACAGATCCACGTATATCCTGATTCTGATCTCTTTCTTTCTATTGTTTCTCGTGCTTCGAATTCCTCGACGAACAAAAGGAATATAAATTTGATTCGTGCTGGATTCAAAAAAAAAAAAAAAAAAGGTATCACGTTTCAAAAAATCTATACGATCGTTTTCTTAGTAATCCTCTCTTGGATCCATAATTAATGATCCGGTTTTCATGTAAGCGACACATCGAAGTTTATATATTTCCAAGTCAGATCGCGTTTCTATCGAAGATAGAAAACGAAGAATTTTAACATTGAAAAGATTAAAGATTCGAGATATATCAGATAAATAAGGATTTAAATAAAAACTATTCGATTAATTTTTTTTTTCTTTCGTAAGAAATATGCATTTTCAAGTCTCGGTTAATCTATTATCTATAAATTAATTTAAATATCCACTCAAAATCCTCGTAAAAATATCCATATCTAATTAGCAATTTAAATCGTTCGCATTATAACCTCGTTTCGTTCAACGGATCACGGAGCAAAGAAGCCAACTGACACGACACGTTCATCAAATCTCCCAACCTATTTCTCGCAACCACTTATAACTATTTGGAAAAACCGTTAACCACAGCGAAGACAGGAGCACGGCGTGGTTATGCGAATTCCATGCACGAACCCTACGGTACATACTCATTTTTCATCGTCACGGTAAACGTAACATTCGCTTGATTTACCCCCTCAGGCGCCACTGCTGGACGAAGCTCCAGTCTGCCTTGAACCCGGTGTTGTCCCCCGGCAAGGACCAATAATCCACGACCTGGCTCTCGTCCTCCTCGATCCTCAGCACGTCCTCCCTGCTGGGGCTAACGTTCACCACGATTTCGTGCGTGACCTTGGTCTTCTCCACCTCTTCGTTGCTCTCTATCAGGCCCAGTGTCGATCGTTGCCTCTCATTTTTATCCATATCGCCACACCTTCCATCCTCTGAACTTTTATCAACTTGCCCCTCCTTTTTGAAATCCCCTATCTTTCTCGATTCCTCCTTTCTCGCAGCCGATTGAACGACTTCTTTGCCATTTAATTTGTTCTGCCTCTGATTAGTGTCGCCAAAGTAGATCACGGTCCTGTGAGCCACATCTTTATCGTTTTTTTTCAAATTGTCACCCACCACCACGTGGTGCGCCATCGACTCTCCTCCCATCTTACGCCTGTGATTAGTCTTCTCCGTTATGATGCCATCTTCGTCGCAAGCTGATTTAGGCGTGTTGTCGCTTACGTTTAACCATTCCTTGGTCGGAGATTTACTTGCGAAGGGGAGGCCGCGACGTAGAATGAAGTTGACGCCCTCGCGGCGAGGTGGAGCCTCGAGATTAGCCGGCATCCTGCAGTCACTCAGCTCGCGACAAATCATACATTTGCAATCCTTTCCTTCGCATGATTCTCGTTTTGTCGATGGCATGTCATCAGAAACTTTCGTGTAAAAATCCGTACATTTTGCGGTAGGTGAAGTTTCTGTCGATTCTTTGGGAAAAAGGAAGGATGGTTAAAAATCGGAAATGATGAATTCTAAGCGTGTGGTATAGTAGGCCCATTCACCCATATCTCAAAGGATGTCCGCCGATTGACCGCTTTTTCTTGGTTATTCGAAGAATTATTGCGATTGTCAAACACGTAAAAATAACTTCCTCGATTCGGAGGAAGGAAGTTAAATTTGATGAGCAATTTGTTGATGATTAATGCTCGAGGAAATTGGAAAGTGATGGTTTCTTGAATAATTAAAATTGATTTGACGAAAGAAATGATTTTTCAGATGCTCGAGATAGAAAATTATTTTCTTATATCATTCGCTGTTGCTTCAATGCTTATAATACTTTTATAATTAAAAATCATCCTTTTCACTTTGCAATTTTGCAAGCACAATTAAAAAATCACAAACAGTTTCTTCTTCGACACTTTGCACATAGTACAAGTTTGAATACACGAAAGTTTCATCCTGGAAATTAGACTATATTGGATCCAATTCCATTTTATCCACGCTCATTCTACTACAATCTACGATCTTTCGAGCTGGCTTCGATAAGTTCGTTTCGATATTGGATCGATACGTTTCACCTATGATATGAAATAAATCTCGAATGATCGCTGATTCGTTTTTGTTCTGTCCCCGTTCCGACACGCGACTGAAAACACTGTGATCCACAGTGACGGGATCAACAGGTGAAACGCATGCACTTCCTGCGCGAACCGCAATGTCGGCGAATAGAGCACAATCTCCCGTATCACTTTCCTTTCGTTGTTTCTTTTCCCCCTTGAATTCTACCACAACGTAACAGTGTCACAAAAGCGGGAGCATCGACGGTTATCGCGTGCGAATATCTTTCTTTCTCTTTTCCTTTCCTTCTTTCACTATATTCTATCCTCTTCCTCGGTGAAAATATCCAATAATGATGAATTTTGACTTTTGCGCCAAGAAACATACAGATTTGTGGAAAATCTTTTTTTACTATTTATATTTTTGTGTAGATTAAGATAGGATGCAAGATTGATTCAGAAAACACTATTTCGAACACTTGTTTTTTTTTTTTTTATGTCTCGAATTGGACAATTGGTATACGTTGTAAATCATTTTATTTCCTCTTTTAAGATAAACATTTCACTGGGCAGAACTGGTGAAAAAAAATTATAAAGCTTATGAAACTTTTTCGTTTTTCCATTGTTGTTCGTACAATTCAATTCAAAAAAATTAAACCCAATAAATCTCAAACACGATTTGCCAAATCTCTCGCATAGTTGGAGAATGCGACGAACTCGTGAATGATTCAACTCTCACTCACTTCTGATTCAAATCCATTTTTGTCCGGCAGAAATTTCGTTATCCAAGAATTCGTGAGAAGAAATCGTAAGAAATGGTTGCAAGAACACCAAACATAGAATATAAGAGATCAATTACGCGCGTTCACGCACACGGACTTTCACCGTTCTGCTCCGTGGAAAATTGATTCCGAACGAAATATCTCCAATTTCTAGTTACGGCCATCAATCTATTAGAACTCATCCATAAATTACTTTGCAAATATCATTTTATACTTCAAATGATGCTATCTCTTTGCTTTATTTAACTGTGAACTTGTTATTATTATGCTATTTCATAAAATTATCCAGTCATTTGGATTATATATGTTTCAGAAGAAGTACTGTTAGAAGAAGATGAATGAAGATTTTACGATTTACAAGCATCGACAGATATTAAAATGTTCCTTCTAGGAAAATTAATCATATGAAAATTTCATATGATAATAAATCGATTGATTATTAAAAAAAATATATATATATTTATAGATCCTTCTTTTCACAAACACATTAATATTAAAAGTATATCCACAAAAATATAAATAGTTATAAATGAATTAAATGTATTAATAATTTTAAATTAAATCACTTTAATTCGATAAAAAAAAGTGCACAATTACGTGATTAAAGAAATTGTTACAGTATCCATTAATAATTCCTTGCCAAACTGTTTTACATTTCAAATGATTATCCACTACACTCTTTCATAAGATACGTACGAATCACAAGAACTTAAAAAGCTACTTAAAAAAGTAGCTAGAATTACAAAAAAAAAAAAAAGAAGAGAATAAAAAACAGTAATGATAACAACAACGAGATATAGAGATATAAAATTCTCGATAATGTTTCGCGATAGGACAAGATTAACCCACGGCGCAGTGTTCTACTTTGATCCGTGATCGGTGTATTACGCACGCGTCATCAGTTTCTTGTCCTGCTCCGTGGCGTGGTTAAGTGCTGGCTGCCACTTGTAAACTGTTATGCTCTTTTCACTGGGCAGAGAGCGTAGGAAACGGGAGAGTGCAAACGAACAGTGTCTTTAGAAGCCCCACCATATACGTATGTATATATATACGTGTATACATATGCACATAAGCGTTTACATTTGCATTTGTTTCGAGGGAGAATTTCCGGCGACCATCCTACTTCCTATGACTCGAATCGCCCTAACCACGTCCCGTGACGATTCTTGAACATATAGCTGTTCGCCATCCTTTCATCGTACTCTTTCAATCCCTTTTCTATGCAAAACGTCGTTTATCATGATCAAAGGGCGTAAACTGTTAATTGGTAAGGTTAGGAAACGTGATTCACGCATGTGTGAATGAAAGAATATAGTAAACGGTTCAGTGAACGGTTTTTAACTTTGTGTGTGATATTATAAAAAGTGTAATTATATTTCAAGTAGTTGAAATATATAAATAATACTAATAATATTTTATTTTTTATCTTATATCTTGATATTCGATCAATAAACAATTGAAACATATGAACAATTGAAATAATAATATTTATATTTTCGTACAATGTAGGAAATAATGAAAAGAAGTAGGCAGATAGTGTCTCCTATTTCCGGTAGCCTTTTACAATGGGAAAGAAAATTCTCAAGAATTTTTCTAACATGGATAATCGTGGTGGAAGACATACAATGCGGAAAACAGGCAATTAAGTAGGTCAAAATTATTTCGAAAATACTACGCATAAAAGAATAAAATTTACTTATACGTGAATGAACATATTTCTTTTTAAATTAAAAAATTATTAAAATATATTTTAATTGAAGAAAGAAAAAAATAATTATTTTCTTATAGATACAATAAATTTTAAAAGATCAACCATCATAAAACATTCTAATTCATCTCGAATAGCATTGTTCCTATTGAAATATACCCATGATAAATTCGCGTGAAAGTCATAAAGTAATTTTACTCTCTAGACAAACCGGTCTTTATTTTTTCTCACTTTTATGAACTACATTCTAATATACGTGTTCATTGTACATGAATACAAACTAGATTATTATTAAGCTTTGTTAAAAATTTTTGCTAATCTTAATCTTACATTTGAAAATTGTACATGATTTATTATTAACTTTCAACTATTAATATAATTTACATAAATTGATTGACTGAATGATATTTTATTAAATAATATGTAGCAATTCATGATTTATTTTATATAATTTTACTTTTTTATCATTATCTTTTAAAAGTTTAAAAATGTTTTAATCTATTTTTATAAACTGAAATTTTAAAAAATATCTAAATTTAGTTCGTTAATACATTCAATAATAAATTAAAAAATTTATCGATAAAAAGTTGTTCAAATAATTCTAGATTTTTTTTTGTTAAATAATTTTGTTGTAACATTTGAATAAAAGTAATAATTTCGAAAAGCAATTGAAATTAAAAAAAAAAAATCTCGCAAAATCATTTTAATCCATCTTCTTTTCTTGAACATTAGTCACATTTCACCAGCATATAATTCTTCATTCATAAATTCATTTTCGTCCCATTTGAATAAAGAGTTCTTTCTCCTTTATATCGCCTAATTAAAGACCAATTAAATTTATCTGAATTATCGGTTCTCTGAATTCTCTTTCAATGAATAAACAGAACATTTGGCCCAACATTCGTTTTATTCGTGTTGCGGACATCTTTTCTGAGAATGCAGAGAACGACGGAAGTTTTTAATCTATAACGCGTCCACTAAAAGAAAGGTTTTTACAAAGAGGAGTTCAAGGCGTATACACATTACATATATTGTCCGTGCTCATCTGGCGAAACTCCGGTGTCAAGGGCGACAACCATTGCGACTGAAAGATATTAAATTAATTAGCGAACCGTGTCTTCTTCCTTTAACGTCATAATATAAGTAATAGAAAAATTGTAAGAAAAATTATGTAGGTAATTGTGTTGAAAATTGTAATACAGTTTTTCTATTTGACTTATACATTATAAGTGGATCAATCTGTAAAATTAATAATACAAACACTATAGAATATAAATAGCTTTCGCAATTTTGTGTTCATAATATCATCTTATCCTCTATCATTTTTATCCTCTATCATTTAATATTCAATATTTTAATACCAATAATACTAAATTTATTTAATATTAAACTTTTAAATTTCACTATTATATCTGTGTGACACAAGCCATCTTTTAACCGTTGTAATCAGTTCGTAAATATGTACTATATATTCCTATTTCAAAGCCTAAATTCATCTAAAGTTTGACTCACACATCCGGTAATTAAGAATTAAGCCTGACTCATCAATTCATTCACTAGAGGGCTGAAGCCATCTTGTTCTAATTAAACTCAGCTATTCTAGCAAAATCATTCTTGTACATCGTTTCCAGCAATTATACATATGTCGTCTAAAATTTCAAATTCAAATCTAAATAAAAATTGCATGGATAAAAATTATTGGAGGTAAAATGATATATAATCAATTGTACGAATTCCAACGGTAAAATCTCGATTGAAAAGAGACGACACGGATCTGAACAGAACGATATTTAAACTACTCAAAGAGGAACGACTAGAGTTTAACCAGGTGGAAAAAAGATGCTATACATACATAAATTTTAGTGAACTGAAACGAAATATTTCATTGGTTAGAAATGTTAGAAGTGGAATGGAATAGAATCAGAGCGGAAACTTCGATATTTATCTCGTTGAATAGTTTTTGCCACCTATTAACATAGTATCTAATATAGGAAATAAATAAGTAAATCGTATTTCACCAGATATGAATGTGCAAAACGAAACAACGCATGCTTCCTCATCCATAAAATCTATTACATCGCATCGAATCAGTGAGCGAAGTGGTGATTTAATAGTGTTTGGAATTTTCCAACATCAAGTTCTATTAACTGGTTGGCAGGTGTCTGAACCTTGGGTCAACCCTATCATAAAAAATATATCCACCAAACTTCGATTAAGGATATGATAGGATAACAATACATTATATATATATATTTTTAAATTTTAATAATTTGCTATCGAATAAATCGAGAAAAAAATTTGTGCGTCAAAAGATAAGAAAATAATAATTAATGTAATCAATAGAATATAATAATATTGGTTTGTTCACATTCAAACTCCGATGAGATGACATTTCATGTACTAACCTAACCTTCACGCGGTTGAAATTAGCACACAATTAAATCGATTCTCCAACATAAATTGTAACAATACACTTTCCATTTTTATTCAATTCACTAACGAACAAGGACGAACATCATCGGTTCTCACTTTTCATCTTTCGTTTTCGAATTTCCTTTCATTCATTAACTAATTAACAAATCGTTGCATACTACTTCTAGTTTCATAAAAAAATCAATCTAACTGAATCACATTATCATTTTTTCACTCTTCAGTTCTAATGTTGAGCAATGAAATAAAAATTTCGAAGAATTTCGCGCAATCATGTGAAAGGAGAGTTTTAAATTCATTTAATTAGTTATTTGAAAGTAGAGGAAATCGTAACGGGAGATAAAGAGAGAGAATGAGAACCGGGTGATCGCGATAATGATGCGCGTGAGAGGATGTGCGCCAATGCTTAGTCAGATCTGATCGAGATATTTAGGTTAACGGCCTTTCTTATTTGTCTTCCTTCTTCTTTTCGTATAGATGATTTTAACTGTTCATTGACAAAGCTAAATTGATTTAGATTTTTATTCTTTTTCTTTACGCGATGATTATTATTATCATTCGTTAACGGTGTTTAAATGTACATTTCAAATTATAAATTTACGAAGTTTAAAATTAATGTAATAATATTATGTTTTGAATTTTATCTGATATTCAATGGTTTAATAGTTAACAATGGTAAAGGAGAAATCTGTTATAACATTATTAGATAACTATAATGTTTTATTTCTTTTTTCTATGTTCTTACTACTATTTCATTATTATTTTAATTTGATTACATTCGTCAAAATATAGCCTACAAAATTTTTTAGTAATTAAAATAATTATATATATTTCGTATTTATCAGGATTTTAAAAAATATTATTATTCTAATAAGAAAAATTACATATTTAATATTTACAGTTAAAAAAAATTTTATTTTAAAATCTTAAAATTTAAAACAATCTCTATACATTTCAATAAACACTTTATTGCCACTTTCAATTTCCCACACCCAAACTTCAATTAAACTTTCACAAGTAAGAAATAAAAAGCAAAAAATAAATAAAAATAAGAAAGAAAAAATCTAAATAAACGCTAAACAATAGTATAAACTATTCCAATTGAACAATTCGTCCATTGTTAGTCTTTTTTAACGGTTCGTTGAGAACGTATATATATATGGTTCACCATAATATTGGGAAAAACATTCGATATAAGTATTTACACATGATCATGTTACAGTTTAACAGTGCTTATAAAATTGTATTATATAATACAACATAATTCAAGACTCAGAAATTAGATAAATGGGAATTTATATCCTGATAAACAAGAATAGTCCTTATTTAGCAGTATCAGAATATTTATTACCTTTTTGCTTTCGTAAATAATCATTACAGTATGAATTAATTAATTTTAAAATATTTTTATTTTAACCATTAATAATTTATATACATAACACCATTAATAATTTTCATGTTATTAAATAACTTAAATCAAATATAATCCTACTTTAATTCTTTTTATTCGAAAAATAATAATTTCTTCTTGAACAATTTTTACTGAAAATTTAAATTGCATGAAATATAGAAATTGCAATACTTTTGCATTATTTTTTATTTTTATCAATGCTAAATTTAGCATTGAAATGGATCCTACATATTGCATTACACCCGGTTTGAGGACAATAGTGTATTTCAATGGAACGGACCCGGGGGAGTATCGCGTCACCGTAAATCGGTCAGGCAACAAGCTACACGGACGGGCTTTCTCTTCGATAACCCTCGATAACCTTAACTCGACACGCGGAATATTTTGTGCTTGCGCATCTTCGTCGTTTGCTCGTATGCGCGCGCACTTCATGTCTTCGCGATTCTACCAGTGATTTGTCCCCTCGGTTGTTTTATGGGGAACCTTACTTAATTGCACGTCAATGCATCTAAAACTTTAATTTTATGTTTAAAGATATTTTGAAGAGGTAAAGTAAATAATAGAATACAGCGATAAGGAAAAAATTTGATTAATTATATCTATTTTTTATTATTCTCATTTTCAGAATGACCAATCTTCTTTCAATTGTGATTCACAAAAAGATCAACCTGATAAATATCGGGATAAATAGTTAAAGTTATTTTCTTTCCATTAAATTCGTATATTATATCTTTTTAAATTATCTAATCACTTCTTCAAGTTACAAAATAAACATATATATATAATGTGAAGTTTCTCAATGTACCATAACCTTAAAGCACAGTTCCTTCTTCCGCGAGTAGATAAATACAACATAAACTTGGTTTGATATTCAAGGGACAAAGATCTAATCATTGATTAACTACGTCAAATAAATTTCGATTTTTCATATAGTTGGAAAAGATGAGGGTAGAGAGAGATGAGGATTATTCGTTATACTGTGAATTTTAACTTCCCGTTGATTTAATAAATAATTCTCGTGTGCTTTCAAAGAAGCTTAGAAGATACACGTCACCTCGTCTTCTTATCCCCGATGATCATTCTTATACCATAGAGATTGCATCCGCGCATTCCTCATACATACGATTACAGCGAAAGATGACTGGCGTATTTTTTGCGGTCGTTGACTCGTTCGAAATACAACGTGCCCGTCGTTTAAGCTTCTTTAAACTACCTTGTGCACGCACACGCATATGTTTCTTTGATCTTCTACTTCTTGTATGATTGTGTGTATTTCAAATACAAAGTTTTGTTGTATGATTTACTTCTAATAAATTAGGATTTATATTTCCATATGTCAAATTAATTTTGGACATAACCTATAGTATGAATCGCATAGTATTTTGTGTAGATATATATAATCGTTTTAAAGTTGATTAGTTAAAAATCTGATCATGTAATTTAAAGATAATCATGTAATAATATTCATTTCTATTGTCGATTCATATATTCATGTAAAGAAATAAGTTTTATGATCCTTTTTTTTTTATAAATTTGTGTTAAAAGATACGCATTAAAATAGATAGTATTTAACTTGTTTTTATTATAACAAGTTACATATTTTCCTTTAATAAGTTATAAAGTTATAAGTTATAATTAAATTTAATAAAAATCATCTATTAATTTGTATCGAAGATGAAACTGAATTTCAAAGTTCTTATGAAATGAACTTTAACCTTGAAACAGGTCAGTGACCGTTTTCATGTGGAAAGCTATTTTTAACCGAAGGCAAAATCGAGAGGAATACGATACGCAATCGATAATTTTAATGTTACGCATCGATGGGCAATTATTATCGATTATAATTCGGTGTCATACATATTGATAAGGCCACGATGTGCTGTGTTTTACATACGAATCACTGAGCGTGCACACGACACGCTCGAGCGCTGGAATACCAATGAACCATGCATATACAGAATCTCAAAGCAAAATCCCGACCTAGAAATCTTAAATTTCGTGTCACGAAACGATTCTGTTCCGCCTTTTAAAAATTACGTGGGCTTTTTTATACGTTTTAAATTCTTTTGCCTCCCTAAATAATTTGGATATAACATAAATCTTTGTCCTTTCCAATTATTACTTTTTCGTAACCTTATTTTTTTTAAATATATACAATTACTTTTTTTTATAATATTTTTCGCATGTTAAAGTCTCTATAATTATTATTCCCCCCCCCCCCCAAAAAAAAAATATTAAAGAAAATTATCTTTTGAATCATAATAAGTTCAATTTGATAATCACTGCTATTTGATAATCAGCATTTTTTCACTATTTATAATTTCATGAAACTTCGTTATAAGCAATATAAAAATCTTAAGAAACTAAAAAAAAAAATATATATATAAATAACAATTTATTTATATTTGAAATTAGTTATCGTATATAAGCCCGTTATATTGGGTGAACGAACTTCGAAAAGAACAAAATTTGTGAGCCTATTACGTGAACCCTTAAATTTCAATGCCTATTTGTATGCCGAACAGATTTTTCAGGAACCGAAGCCGTGGTGCGCGGCATGGTGTCGATGGAACTAAATGATGGGGAAAGGGGAGGTGTGTCTTACGAATATATGCTCGTTCGACATCGTTAATCGAATCGGTCGTAATTACGTACATCGTAAATTTTAATGATCCTTAATCGGATCGGTAAGTGGAGTGGCTTCTCTTAACGGTGATGTTTTGAGATCCCGCTAAACACTGAATTAAAAAGAAAAAAAAAATTTTCATTGCATGCCGAGAACAAAGATCTCTAAATTTGAATGTTTTAAATTATTACGGAAAAGGAATTCCTGAAAACCATTTTTATAACGTAAAATTTTTCATTATAACAATTTTCCTTTTTTTGGTTAAATTTCGATGATGCTTTAATAATAAATAAAAATATCGATATAGCGATATTGAGATAATAGGACTCGATAATCTATATTATATCGATTTATGACATTTTTATATTCTGAATTCCTATCATCAGTCTCATCCGAAAAAAAGATCTTCTCTCTTTGAAATTATGAATGCTTCTCCAGCATTACAGGGATGACGCATCAATACTGAGTCATCATTAGGAAGCCCATGTTTATGTTACAGATCATCGATAGCCAACCGTAAACTTACATTACAATTAATTGACTACTTGAAGAACAGTAGCAAGTGATTTGACATGTAAACGACAGCCAATATCTTCATCGGTATTCGTGATTATCATCAAGAAAATTATCAACTATGAATATCATGAATCAATCGCTCTACATAAAACATGTAATCTCTGTGCACACGATTTATTTCATATATCAAGTTAATAAACTAGTAATAGATGATAAATAAATCACTCAATAAGGGTTTACAAACGATTTAGCAGCCATCTAGTGCTCAAAGTAATACTTTACCTCCATTTTCATATTTATCAACGCCCTCTAGATAATAACTGTAACCTGTTATAGTTACCTATATAAACCAAAGATGAATTGCCGTCGATAATATTGGCATTTCATTATCTACTAACCTATATTTGATATTCCAAAAAAATAATTAACAAAAAATATTAATAAAACAAATCATATTCATTGCAATGTTAATAATTTCATGTTGGAGGAGACTGAGAATGTTCCTATGTTTCTTGGACGGTTTTAATCGATCTTTATCAGGACTAGCGGATTACCATGAATACAACCATTAATCAGATCTCTGTTAAGATCGATATCGATTACAAATGGATTAGCAGTAGGGTTCACGGAAAATAAAAGAATACTTACCGACGTGGCTTGGGTCGCAATATCTCGTGACCAGAATCGGATATGCAGATACTCAGGCTTAATGGTCCCCCATAGTGTTCTGGAGGCGCACCGGTTTGGACAGTCTGCTGCTGGGGACTGGATATACCGCCAGAACCGGAAGTGCCGGTCAAAAACAACGGTTGCTGCCCACAACCGTCCATCGTGGCTCGCTCGACGTTCATTCTGCCTCCCGTTGCTGATTGCACTGGAAGACCTGTGAAATTAAAAATAAAAACACTTTGAGGTCCTGTACAAAACATGGTGTTAGCTTTTCTTCGCAGAATTATGGATTTATTGTTATTGATAAAATTGCTGTATTATACAAACCGAATTATATAACACACCTGGGATAATTTTATTTGTATGTTCTACTAACAAAAACTACTTTTCTATG